AGAAGCAGTTTGGAAAGAGGCCAGCGAAAGGCTGGAGGGGAGACATGAGTTTTTGCAGCTAGTTTGCAAGAAGCAGCCTCTCTGGCTGTGCTGCTGCTTGGGGCAGGGGGAGGCGACTATTGCTGCTTTATAGGGGCTAGTGGCATCTGATTGGGTCTTGGCATGCTTCTCCCTGTTAAGCTGTTCTATTGGGGTGCAGAACCTTTTTGGCCTGGTGGGCCAGATCTTTTATCTCCTCCCACACCACAGGGCAGTTTTGATAGATAGGTAGGGGCACCCACATGTCACTTATTTGATGACATAATGATGTCAGGTGATCAACAGGTGGGTGGTTGTGCCTAGCTATCAAAGTTGGCCCACAGGGTTGTGGGGGTAGTGACTGAGCAGGATTGATATCATGTCATGTTCCGATGCTGGAACTCTCAGGGAAAGTGGCAAGGCTGGAGGACCATGGACAGCTCCCAGTAAACAACTTGTTCCAACAAAGGTTGGGAGAAGACTTTGCCCTTTCATGCCTGTCTCCAGACTGCCTCCTCCAGGCTCCACTCTCTTGAGAAAACATCAAAACATTAATGGCCAGCCCTCTGGCCTGAAGACAGGCCCCACTCCTCTGTTCCATAGCCCCCTCCTGGTGCACTCCCAGTGCTTCTAGATTGGTGTGTACAGTGGATGGTACCTGGTTTTTCAGGCTCAGGGAAAGGTGTCTGTGAGGTACGAAGTCCTGGCTCTATAGGCCCTGGTGGAATGGGAAGTTCCTCTGGGACTCCCTGCCCAACCAGCTCAGCCACAATGCTCTCCCTATTCTCTGCAGCTGGCTGTGAGCCCAGACCCATCTCCCCACTTGGTGCTCCTGTGGCATCTGACCCTGTGTCCAGATCACTGCTGGATACAGGGGTCATGGCAACTGAACTCCCTGTGCCTCAGCCGATGCGGGGTGGTGGTGGTGGTGTGTCAATTCTGCTTTCTGCAGGGTTGGGGTAGGCCAGTGAGTTCCCCTTAATAGTCCTTAAGCTAAGGCAATGGTTTGGAAGTGTGTGGCCGATGTCTGGTCAAAAACTCCACAAACGGAATGGGTAAAGATGCTGGAGAGGGTTTTCCAGGGGCTAGCTGGGTTTTTGGCAGAAGCAAAAAATTTTTTGCAAAGCAATCGAGCACATGCAAATGCATGTGCTTTAAATATACGTATATGATGTGGAATGCAGCTTTCCTAAGCAAAGAATTAGAATTTGGATGGCAGAATAAAAATCATGTCTGTACTGAGTTTTGCAATTAAATGTCCTGGCACCCTGAAAAAAATAACCAACACCCACGGAAAGTGAATGTGCCCAAGTGAATCACACATCTGGCTCTGGCGCTGCTCAGGGGCTCTGCTGCGTGATGCTATTAGCTCCCAGTTGGGTCTGAGATGCAGTTAACTAAATAGCATTGCAAGTTTATTGCATGCGACTGACAGTTCTGATTAGTGCTAATAGGGAGGGAGCGGTGGCAGGGAGCTGCAGAGCGGAGAAGCTGGCAGGAAGCTGCTTCTGGAAAAAATGCTCTTTATTTTCTAATAATCTCTTCATTAGGTTTGAAATCTCCCTATGTAATGACCCTGTTGATGAGCAACAGGATCTGCCTGCCGGAGGGTCTGGAATGAAAAGACAAAAAGCACTTCTGAATGACTTCCTTCCCAATGAAATTGTTGTGGCAACTGCCCCCAAAGCAGGAAGGTTTGATCTCCTTGTCCACCTCTCCTGTGACCCACTAGGGACAAGTTTAAGAGCTAGGCTCTGTATCTTCAAAAACACCACATGGTACAGCAATCTGAAGAATGCTCCCTCTTTAAGGGTGGACTAAGCAGCTGAAACACATCCCATTTCAGATTTTCTAGTGCTCAATCAGAGGTCCGTTCCATCCTGTTTTATCTAGATTCTTTTTTGAAAGAATACTGTAAAAGTTCCCTTTTAAATAGTACACATTTTGCATAGTTTTGGTTTTTGTAAAATACACATTTTCCAATTCTTTCCAGTACATTTCCTCATATAATGTGCATTTGAAAAAAAGAAACCTATTTTTATGTGCACCCCCCTTCTCTCCTGCAACCTCCATTTACTATTGAAAGTGACTCCCTACCTCCTACACTTAATAGGAAGAGTGAGGAACCTAAGACCTGGATCCAACTGTGTCCCTCTCTATCAGGACTCTCCACAGGTTACATCACCTCCTCAGCCACACCCACTTCCTGCTCTACTTTGCATCCTCCTTAAGTATATCTTACTTGTCCTTGAACTCTGATAACACCACTTGCTTGCATGGAGGGAAGATAGCTAGAAGTGTCTGAGTGTTTGCAGAACTAGCCCAGGGTTGGCTGTTGTTGGCATCCGTCTGTCTTGAGAGACAATGGAGTGCACCTTGGTGTGTGTGTGTGGGGGGGTGTTAGTAGCACTGGAGTGACCTCCTCGGGGCGAAAGCCTGGGCAGCATATATGGAGGACCTGGGCTTCCCAGAAGACAAGACCTCCCTCTCAGCCTTGCTGGTGTGGTCCAAAGGAAAGCAGAACAAGACGTTTGTCACCAGCTGGGCTGCAGGAGTTGCTGGAAGGAGACGTATAAGGTACCACCCAACCATCATAGGGACTCCACTCTGGATTTGTGTAGGGTTTACTCCTTAGCCTTTTCTTCTCCCAAATATATCATACAAGACAATGGAGGTTTAGGATCAGAGTTTCTTTCTCCTAGATGGGCTACCTTCCTAGGTGGATGAGCTCCATCTGCCCCCCTCCCTCTACAGCACATGCAGAAGCTACCTTCTTGACTGTTAGACCCTCTGTTGGTCTCGTCCGCTCAATCTGTCAGAGCCTGTCTTTGCATGCAGGGGAAGTCTCTAACTCACCAAGGGTTTGAGACCCATTGGCTCCCCTCACCTGGTTTAGCCAGTCTGTCAAAGCTGTTTCCCAGAATGTGACTGCTGTTGCATGTTTTCAGTGTCTAGGAGTCGCAGGTGAGAGCTGAGTGCAGGGTGTGGACAAAAGGTGGAGAAACTGCCCCAGAAGGAGCACAATGTGTTCCCTAACACCCCATACACCGCAGTGTACAATTCCTGCAATGCAGGAATCTCAGCTAAAGCTTTATAGGCAATCCGGCATGCACATGTTGGATCAACTTGCTTGTGCTGCCTCTGGTTTGGCCTGTTGCATCGAGGGAAAGCTTTGTGTTTAACCACCAAAGTACCGATTCTGTCCAGATTGAAAGGGAACTGGAGGAGCAAGTTCATGAAATGGTCATGTGAATCAACCGTTAGTGATTGTGGCAACCCTGGCACATTTGTGAGAGGAGATGCTTTTCCTGCTGCTGCTATGAAGCAGCCATCAGTGAGAGTCTCCCTCCTCCCATTTCCTTTTCCACACCCTTGTCCAACAATCTGGCTCCTTTCCTTGGATGTTGAGGTCAGCAGAGTCCGTGAGAACTCCCTGAGTAGGAAGTGGCTGCCCCTCAGTCTCCTCTGCACAGCTGCTATGATGCAGAGTCATCAGCAGCTGGTGGTCAAGTCTGAGCAATGAAATGTCCTAAGGGAGGATTGGGGGGGAACCTTGAGCCTATTTCTGGCAGCTGGAATCTGTCCCCAGCGGGAGAAAAAGGCTTGATCTCATTTGGCTGGCCTGCATCCCTGGAAAGGAACAGCAAATGAAGCTATTGACTTCACTAGCCCTTGCTCTCTCTTCTCCTGGAGGAAAACAAATCAAGCACTGGTTGCTTGCCTGTTGGCCTGCAACTCTGAGTAAAGTATCACCTGCCTTAAACCAGCAGCATTTTTGCTTAACATCCTGCCTGAGGAAGAGCTCTGTGAAACTCCCAGACTAGCTTCCAATTTAGTGAGTTTTCAGTGCTGAAGTAAACATGGCCATGGTATATGTTAAACACCGTCCACATATAAAGCAGGGTTTGGGTTCAGGTGTCCACATGCCTCACGAAAAAGGAAAAGGAGGCAACTGATTCACATGAGCTAGTTTAAATGTATAGGATGCAAATTTGTAAATAATTATTAATGCAATACAGCTCACCATAGAGAGAGATGGTGACCTCTGTGCCTGCTCAGTCTGCTGTCTAGATGTTCCCTGCTGACTGGCAACTTTAACCTCCTACCCCATATCAGGCTTTCTCTTTTTATGAGTCAAACTGGACTTGGACAAATAGAGGACTCCTACAAATCTCTGCCAAAGGACAACCCCCTAAGAGACTGCTATTCATGATGGCTATATTTAACTCCAGCAGCAGGGCATCATGCCTCTGAACACCATTAATTCGGAACAACCATGGAGGAGGGCTCTTGCCTCGCTGGCCTGCTTGTGGGCTTCCCTGGTGTAGCCTTTGTGGTCCCATGTTCCCATGACAGCCCTGCCAGCAGAGAACTGTCCTCTGCAAAGTAGGGCACATGGACCGCTCTATCCTTCTTTTAATTTTTTGTGCATGAGAGAGGGGAGCAAAACCTCTTGTTCTCCACCCCCCACATTTTTCCTTTCTGTGCTGCTATTAAGTAGGTTTTCCAAAGTGAGCCAGGCAAGGAGAAAATATCTCAGGTGGGCGAGGGGGGGGAGAGACACTCTCTCTCTTTAAAGCAACAGTGTAACTCAATTAAGAAGAATATATTTATCACTCCAAGCCATCATACAGGTGGTTGCATCATATGTCAAGTCAATCCTCTCAGATGGCTGTGTGAAACCTTTTAGTCCTTTTTTGGGGTGTGTGTGAGATGCCTCCCCTCCCTTTGACAATGGATGCAAATGGTCGCCCTATTTGCTTCTTCTTCAAGGATGTAGTACTTGCTTTCTGCGCCTTGTACTGGACACCAGGTGGGGGAGATCCCCTCTAGTCCGTGAGCTCCTCTCTTCCTTGTGAGTAAGACTCCCAGGACTTGCTTTTATTCCCTGTTGAAGATTTACAGAGAGCTGTGAATGAGGGTGAAAAGATGAGTTGAAAGATTTTCCTGAGCTGGTGTAATGAAAGGCTGGAAGCAGGCAATCCTTTCGCTTCTGTTTTTAATGGAGCTGAGAGTGGTGCAATAGAGGCATCATTTGTCCTGTGGACACAGCTGGTCAAACAGTTTTTACTTCTTGGATTGGATGCAGGGAGGGTACTTCCAGAATGGCACTGCTGCGTTGAAAATCTCTAAGCCTGTGGTATAGATACTCTCAGATAGTTTCCACAGCGAAGGATGGTCCTCCCTCTTCCTCTTCTTCACGTGTGCATCCCCCATTCACATTCCCAGAGGGGAAAAAGATACACTGGATACAAATGGAGGCAAAATAATTGTGGTTTCCTCAACCCCACCCACCCCATTTTCATTCATAGAAGGGCTGCAGCACTGCATCAGCTCAAAACCTTTTGATTGATTGACTGAAATGTTACTAGCCTGGCAGCGTATGCAGAGAACGGCTCTTGTCTCTCTGAGATGATTCCATGCTGGGCCTTCCTGCCCCCCCCTCTCCTCCTCTCCTCCTCTCCAGATCCAACGTCCCTACTCCCAGCTCACCCACTTCCTTTCCATACCAGCTGCAGTGGGGATTGAGTGACTGACAAACCACAATTAAGTCACCCTTTAGTGTGTGCCACTCCCCCCACCCCCGGAGGCATTAGGAAACTGATGTGTTTAAATTTCAGCAGTACAGTTCATGTACAAAATGTGCCCTTGTTTTGCTGGTCATGGCCATGAAATGTTTTGGCAGCAGAACACCTAGAAACCCAACTTCCCGAGAGAGTCGTGGTGGCAATATTCTGACGGCTGGGGAAGGGTAACTCTAGATGCCCCTCTTGCTCTTTTTAAAACTCAAGTGTTACACAGCACTTTGCATAGCAACATGAGCAAGAGTCTGGGTTGACGAAGGAGCAAGAGCCAATAGTTATTAAGAGGAAGTGCAGTCCTATGCTTGAAGGCATGTGTGTGAAGGACTGTCTGGTCCAGGTCTGGTTTTAAATAAAGAACCTTAACAAAGTTGGCCTTCAAGAGCTAACAGCATCCACACAGCCAGGCTGAACAGGTACCCTGCTTGCAGACTTCCATTGTGAGATATACTGTATTTCAATTTAAATTGCAGTGATTCTTTGCAAATTTGCAGCCGTAAACATGCATTAGCCCAGTGTTTCCCAAAGTGAGTGATACCATCCCCTGGGGGGCACTGGAATGATCCAGGGGGTGGTAGTAGCCTCAGGTGCAGTTGGGGGACATTGAATAAAAATAAGAGGGTGGTGGAAGCATAAAGAAAGAAGAGAAGAGAATAAAATTTTGAAAAAACAGTTTGTACATATTTCATCTGCTGTGTAATGACACTTACCGTTAGGTTGGGCACCATTGTGGGATGTTGACAATGCCTCCCCTGTATCTGGCGGTCGTGCTGGAGGTGAGAGCTTTTCCTGGGGTCAAGTGATCCCTTTTTGGCTTCACCCAGGCCTGGGAAGTGGATCACAGCTTGCTTGCCTATCTGGCCAGTGGCAGGTGGGCTGCGGCACTGGCACTGCCCCCGGGGCGGATCAGACTGAGGTGGCAGTTTTCACTCCTCTCTGCTTCATGGGTTTTTATTCCTGGGGCCTAGTCCACCTCCTCATCTAGTTTTGGAAAAGTGTTCATACATATTTCATCTGTTGTGTAACGATGCTTACCAATATAACATGCTGTTTTAGTGAATACTTTATTTTCCAAATAAACACAAAATGTAGCAACATAGATACATAAAGGTAAAGGGACCCCTGACCATTAGGTCTAGTCGTGACTGACTCTGGGGTTGCTGCGCTCATCTTGCTTTATTGGCTGAGGGAGCCGGCGTACAGCTTCCAGGTCATGTGGCCAGCATGACTAAGCCGTTTTTGGTGAACCAGAACAGTGCACAGAAAACTGTTTACCTTCCCGCCAGAGCGGTACCTATTTATCTACTTGCACTTTGACGTGCTTTCGAACTGCTAGGTTGGCAGGAGCAGGGACAGAGCGATGGGAGCTCACCCCGTCATGGGGATTCGAACCGCCGACCTTCTGATTGGCAAGTCCTAGACTCTGTGGTTTAACCCACAGCACCACCCGCGTCCCTAACATATATACATAAAAGAACACAAATTTATCACGGCATCTTTCTATTTGTTTGCTTAAAGAAGACAGATTTCCAGAGAGGCGCTGAGTTGTTTTTTCTGAAAAAGGGGTGGTAGGCCAAATACGGCAAGTTTGGGAACCTCTGCCTTAGCCTGTGCAATTTCATGCTGCCTGTGCTCTCCTTGGATGATGCACCTCCTTTTTTAATGCATACTTGCCCACCCTAAAGGGCACTGAACCTTTCATCTGCCTCCTGGCCTCCCCTGCAACTCTTCTGTTGGCTGTTCACATAGACACCTTGCCCAGATTCTAGAGCTGTGTTTGTGATGCAATGAGAGCCTAGAACCTGGGTAGAAAGAAAAGCAGCTGATTGTGGGGTGCAGAGTTGTGATGGAGAAACGAGCAGGCTGGGAAGGGGTCAAGTGCCCTCCCTTACCCCCCTCCACCCAGCACTTCTCTGCTGGAAATCGCACCCTCGTGGCCAACAAATTCATGTTGGATCAGGATATCAATGGCTGCTAACCATACTGGCTATATTCTTCCTCTGCTGCCAGAGGCTGTGTGCTTCGGAATAGCAGCTGCTGGGAATGCCATGTGGGTGGGAGTGCTGTTGCACTGTGGTCCTCCTTGTAAGTGTCTCCAGGCATCTGGTTGGCCGCTATGGGAACAGGGTGCTGGACAAGATGGGGCTTTGGCCTGATCCAGCATGGTTCTTCTTCTGTTCTTGTTTCCACAAGAGAAGCTTGTAGTTGTACTTTAAATAGATCAGGCTGCACGTGGATCTCTCTGCTTGAGAATCTACATTTGGAGATGATGGGTTGAGGAATAGATGTGGAGTTAACCAAAGGCTAAGCACTGAGGTTTACTTTGGGGGTTATGCCTTAGCTCAGACGAAATCCTGGTGTGATAGATTCCTGCTGGATAAGTATACAAATTGGTTTCTTCAAAAGCCTGGAACCCTAAGAAATGCCTGTTCTCTCTTTTAAAACTGAGTGTCGGAGAATGTGGTCTAAAGGGGGGAAGCAGGTATTTTTCATTAAAGGTTTTGTGGAAGTGGAATGGCTCTCAAGGTATCCACCTGCTCTTTGCTCTCTAGCTTAGCAGCTTTTACAAATAGTCCGGTCCAGGACGGGGGCGGCGGGGCAGAAGGAGTTGTTTGCATCAAAATGCAGCCTATGTTAAGATGCTCCTTAAGGTATGGAATTTAAACAGTCTTCTGCTGCAGTCTCAGTATTCATAGCATATACACAGCACATTTTAAAGACAAGCTTAAAACATCCAACACAAATGCAGAGTGACAGAGATTGATTTCAGCCGGATTGCAGTGGTGGAATTTAAACCTGGACCACGATGCAGAGCAACAATTGATTAAAAGAAGAATTTTTTGAGCATGTGCAGAGTGCAGTTCCCTCACTCAATATGGCATATTGCTACACCAATAAGGATTGTTTCATATCTGATGTTGCAACTGCCAAACACATGTGAGACTTGGCACTGCTCTTTCTAGTAATTTAACGACCATTGTAGCCAGGGAGGCTGATTAACTGCGGCTCAAAAACTAGTGCTTCTCAACCAATGAAGTCAAACATTGATGGAAGAATACTTATGCAACAATTTCTGAGATCACATGTAACAACTAACCCAGTGCAATAGCAAAGCCTATTCAGTTATGTAACTTTAAGTAAGTTCACATTTTTCCCATGTATTGCTCCACTCCCATATTGGCCAGAGTCTCAACAGGCACCACCAGAGCTTTTTCACACAGTACGTGTTTCACTTACGGAATTCAATGCCACTTACTGTGGTGACAGCCAGTAGCTTAGATGGGTTTAAAGTGGATTAGACAAATTCAGTGAAGATGTCTGTCAGTGACTACTAGACATGATGGCAGCTTATTACCACCAGTATTGGACGCAGCATATACAGTTGACTCTCAATTTATGTGGAGGTTAATTCCTGGGATAGCGCATAAAGCCAAAATCACATATAGTCAAAATGTACATTCTCTGCATCTCCAAATGCTTTCCCAAGCTGTGTGCAATGGCAGGTGGGATTACAAAAGTTTCCCTGCCAGATGCTTCCCCCCCCCTTTTAATTTATTTTCCTCCAAGAGTATAAAACTGAATTCACACAAGTTAAATTTGCATAAGCTGGAAGCTGACTGTATCTAAATATCAGATGCAGGGGGCAAATGAGGTGAGGGGTGACATCATCACATGCTGCTTGTGGGCTTCCTAGAGGATCTCATAGAATCATAGAGTTGGAAGAGACCACAAAGGCTATCGAGTCCAACCCCCTGCCAAGCAGGAAACACCATCAGAGCACTCCTGACATATAGTTGTCAAGCCTCTGCTGAAAGACCTCCAAAGAAGGAGACTCCACCACACTCCTTGGCAGCAAATTCCACTGTCGAACAGCTCTTACTGTCAGGAAGTTCTTCCTGATGTTTAGGTGGAATCTTCTTTCTTGTAGTTTGGATCCATTGCTCCGTGTCCGCTTCTCTGGAGCAGCAGAAAACAACCTTTCTCCCTCCTCTATGTGACATCCTTTTATATATTTGAACATGGCTATCATATCACCCCTTAACCTCCTCTTCTCCAGGCTAAACATGCCCAGCTCCCTTAGCCGTTCCTCATAAGGCATCGTTTCCAGGCCTTTGACCATTTTGGTTGCCCTCCTCTGGACACGTTCCAGTTTGTCAGTGTCCTTCTTGAACTGTGGTGCCCAGAACTGGACACAGTACTCCAGGTGAGGTCTGACCAGAGCAGAATACAGTGGCACTATTACCAGTACTTCCCTTGATCTAGATGCTATACTCCTATTGATGCAGCCCAGAATTGCATTGGCTTTTTTAGCTGCCGCGTCACACTGTTGGCTCATGTCAAGTTTGTGGTCAACCAAGACTCCTAGATCCTTTTCACATGTACTGCTCTCAAGCCAGGTGTCCCCCATCTTGTATTTGTGCCTCTCAAGTTCATCTTGTTTGTTTTGGCCCAGTTCTCTAATCTGTCAAGGTCGTTTTGAAGTGTGATCCTGTCCTCTGGGGTGTTAGCCACCCCTCCCTCTCTAGCAAGCCTGAGTTCATTCTGTGCTTTAGCTTTTCTGACTTTGTGTCTACATGTGCTGACTATTTGTTTGAATTCCTCTTTGGTGGTTCCCCCCCTTTTCCATTTTTTGTACACATCCTTTTTTAATCTTAACTCAGTTAAAAGTTCTTTAGATAGCCACCCTGGCTTCTTTAGGCACCTTCCACGTTTCCGTCTCATTGGTATTGCCTGAAGTTGTGCTTTTACTATCTCCCTCTTGACAAACTCCCAGCCATCATGAACTCCCTTTCCTTTCAGTATTACTGTCCATGGGATCTCATCCAGCACTTCCCTAAGTTTTATGAAGTCGGCTTTCTTAAAGTCAAGAAATTGAGTCCTAGTATGCTTGGCTGCTCCTTTCCGCTGTATAGTAAACTTCAGAAGAGCATGATCACTCGTGCCTAATGATCCTTCCACTTCTACCCCACTAACCAGGTCATCAACATTGGTTAGGATCTGGCTGAGTACAGGCAGAGAGCAGATGCTGGGCTAGATGGTCCCTTGGCCTGATCCAGCAGGGCTTTTCCTCCTTCCCCATCCCTCTTCCTCACTGGATGCCCGTTTGTTTCTGGCCCCAGTTCAGGATGCTGCATGAGTGCTGAAAGCCCTAAAGTGGTAACAAACTTCTCTTGTATGGACACTGCCAAACCTACACTCCTCAACAAGACAGAACCTCCAGGCTGGATTATTGCAATGCGCTCTGTGTGGGGCTGCCCTTGAAGATGACTCAGAAGCCTCAACTAATCCAATTTGTAGAAGTCAGATTACGGGCTGAGGTTTCATTGTAACTCATGTAACTCCTGTTTTAACGCCTTCCCTACAGACCCTCTCAGGTGTTGAAATGGGCAGAGGGCATTTTAGAGTTGGAAGGACCCTGAAGGCCATCTGCTTCAACCCCCTGCAATGCAGGAATCTCAACTAAATAGAATCATAGAATTTTAGAGTTGGGACCCTGAGAGTCATTGTGGGGCTATGCATGACATCACTACCCCTATCCTGGTGCGATTTTGCCCCTCCCCTTGACCTTTCACAAGTTGAGCATGAAGATCTGAAGGGACATTCTAGCCACATTGACTTGAATGTGGCGAGAATCCTCCCCATGACTGAGAACTGTACACTTATCAGTTCCAAATTGAAACGGGGATTTTTACTGCATTCAGCTGAATCCGGTTAAAATCTCCCTGTAGACCTTCATGCTCATAGTGCAAAAGGTTGAGAGGGGATTCTTGGAGGAGGGACCAGCATGAATGAGACCCCTGCCAAGGTTGATCCATCTCTTGAATTCAGGAAGAGGGCTGCTATGAGGAGACTGGGTGGAGGAGAGGGGTGCTTTGAGCAGGTGGAGGCAGAGAGGATAGATGATTCTGTTGATATCAAAGGACTCCTTCACTCATGTAACCTCAGAAGAGCACAGAGAGGCAACATGGGGTGAAA